GATTTACCCACTGCAGACATGCGATCTCAATTATGATGCGGGCTTAATTGGAGAAGCCTGTAATGCGGTAATTGGGTGATCAATCAGGCACACATTTCTGTCTTGAAAACAGCGGATGACCGGAATTCAGTCAAAATGAGTTGTGTTAGGCTGAATTCACTCAAACGGAATATTAAAATGACCTTATGACCTTCATGCTGCTTCAGCTTTTTGTGATATTTTGGATTGGTGTGTGAAAGCTGAAGATCCGATTCGCGCTTTTTCGATTTCATCAATTCCATATGAGAAGACGCTCCGCTGCATCTACCATGACATCCAAGCGTAGCTCGCGCCGGGGCTATTGATGGATGTTACCCGAGCTTCACTGACGGTTGTAGTGAATGAATCTGTTGCAACGGGTGAAACTCATTTACTCGCCACACTATTGATGGGGGTGCTCATGTGGTAGTCTATAATGGGATCGTTTCGACAGTCTCATCTCTAAGCTATCCTACTGCGACTACATCAAAGCGCTGTACGCAACACTCCACGAGGGGCTCAGAATAACGGCGCCGGTTGACGCCCGCCTTTAACAGCCGCCTGATTAGGCCCTGCTACGGCCGGTAAGCCTGACCGGCAGGAGAGTGGCCAAGAATTCGCGACACTTGCCGGTCCGGCATCAAGACGAGATCTGATTGGTCAGAAATCTCGACCCAACAGCCAGTCATGACCCAGTATTGGCCAAATGCCGGTTGCCAATGGCGCGACCAGAACGCGTCAGAACTTCCAGAAAGATGTAACCGCTTGCGCTATGTATACGAGGCGCTGAACAACCGTCCTTGATTTCGAGTCGAGCAAAAATGGACCTTGTGCACCTTTGGTGGTTGTTTTGACGTGGACGCTAGCTTGAGAGGCTCAGACTGAGAACTAAGCTGAGGAAAATACCGTCATTACATCGGGGAACACCCGCTTGGCAATCCGGCACTACCACCGACTTGGATACATCGTGGCGTCACCTATGATTCGATCCAACTCTTGAAGCATCTCTCCTCATTCGATTGCCACTTTAAGGCCAGAGTCCATAAAAGTTAGTCTTTTACTTGCGTGAAAAGCTGAGCTCATTCCAGTAATGAATCGATCGCATCGATAGTTTTCAATTCCGAACCAGTGACGTATCAGATGGAGTCCTGTCTCCACCAGGAGAACGTCAATGGGCCGTCAAGCCACATGAGCCTCGTGGTCAACGGTTTACATGGGCCCAAAGTTGCTCCATTAGATGCTCAAATGCTTGACACTGACCCAGGCTCATTTCGTACCAAAAAGGTACCTTACTCAGCCGCATACAACCGCGAGTATCCCGGCATCCCCGAACGTCTGCTGTTGTCCGTCGCGACGAGGCCAAATTCGTCCATCAATAGTCTAGTGGAAAGATGAAACAGGCGAGCTACGTCATATTTAGACTAGTTACGATACGACAAAAACACTGGAATCGTTGGTGCGTCCGCCCATTCCGCCCTTCTGTTCCCAAGCCAACTCTCCTAGGGTTGAGGGGACCAAAACCCTGTATACTAACTGTCCACCATGCTTCATTGGAGTCGGCGCTCATAAATCAACGTCTTTCGACTTCAACCCAGCGCCTCCGCGATGCCGATATTTATCAAGAAACTGAATAGACGCACGTGGCATCATGTGCGGTGAAACCTTGTTATCTGTGCGGCGTCCCACGAATGGATGGGCATCTGTTCCGTTCAGCATCGCCTTTGTGAGGTTCATGACTAAGTTACCTAAATCCTGTATCGTTGTCAGAGCTCATCTGGACGCCTATGAAAACACAGAGTAGGCCCAGCAAAACAACTTCTTAGGGGGCAGTTCCCAAAGAAACGTGAAGCACTCGGGTCTGCAGAGTTGATTTTGCAGTAAAGCACAATCTCCCTTGCGGTGCATTGGAAACGTGCGTGAGCGCCCAAGATTAGGACAACGCCTTTGTAGCTAACTTGCAGAGTCAATGCCTCTGGTGGTGGCCTAGGAGCTATACGCCACCATTTTCGAAGAGGTGCTTGGCTAGGGTTGCCAGAAATACACGGACAATCTGAGGCTCCTGGTGGACGAATCATGGGGTTTCATAGAAGCATGCGCATGCTCGGCGCGTGGTCCTCGCAATCAAACCTCGCAATTATGACTAAGAAATCGCCTAAAGAAAAAGGACGTATTTGGTGTCTGTGCCTTGAAGACCGGCACACACTTTGGCCGCACTACGTCCGTCGATAAAAAAAACTTGTTCCGAGTGCGCTCGTTTTGACCTTGCTTGCGTCTCCGTAAAGATTTTATCTAAGTTCATCGTTGGAGCAACTCATAAGTTCACTCTCCAGATGGTTCCCGAATTTATCGTAAACCGTTCCTCCTAAGTAGGCGTTACGGAATTATTTCTGTGCTGTGCCTAACTTGATCATATTCCTGGAGTTCTATTCAAAGCTGGCTACGTAGCATGCTATTCTTGGTTATAGCAATTCCATTCGGGTTGCGCCACCCAAAGCGTCGAAGAGGAGCCTTGCGCTATGACCTCAATATATACCTCCATGAGCTTTGTGATTTTCGGCGGAACATTAATTTCCAAGCTTTCTGCGCCAAAGCTGACCTGTAGATTCTGCCGAAACTCAACTCTGCTTGCGCGCTGACTCCCCTCCACATCCGTTTTAACGCAACAAATTGCGAAATCTTCTTACCGCAGCTCTGTTGGTGTACATGTGCGAATAGTAGGAAACCCCAAAATGTATCACCAACCATCCTTCAACCACACATCGTGCATGTACTGCCGGGACAACTTTGAAGCCTTCCATATTTTTCGCAACCAAGAACGAAAGTCATTGTTTACTGACCTAGGTGGTTGTATGATCCATAATACCGCGTTCAGCCGAACAGCCCAGCCATCAGAATTCTCCAGGCAGTTCGCGCATGCGGTATCATCCACTCTCTGGTCCAAGTATGCCAGTCTCCCGCTTCCCACTCGGAGGTAGGCCTCTCAAAATTAGCGAACTGTTTGTGCATTTGTTTAACTGTGGTGAAGGTCGTTTCGCTCTTGTTTTCAGCTCAACATGTCATATGCTTGTGACCAGGATTCTGGTGAAGTCGGTAGGAAGGTAAGGTTTGTGTATTTTCGTATTTCCTATCATGACTATGATATATTGCCCCTAAGGCGTGCGTAAATTTTTCGCCACATAGCCGGTGGTAATTACAACGCCGAATCATCGCCTCAATTCACTGCTACAGGCCTTTCCCCATGTCCACTCATCGTTTCCTCATGTTTGCACGCAGGAAATCGTTTGGGGCGTTGTTGGATGATGTTCTGCTAGGTTTTGGTACAATAGATCTGAGTTAGCCGGTCCTTCCCACTTAGATTGCACATCGGTGCTTCTAAATATCTCACAGTGTGGTTGCGTGCAGTGAAATAAAGATGCTAGTCACAAAAATACGGCATTGACGTGCTGTGGAGTTTTGTGCGAATCCGTGACCCATCGAGCTATACTGGATGGTGTCAATGCGACATCCGCAGTCTACATATCACGTTGGTTGCTGATCAGGGCTCCTGGACCTCCGTGTTGAGAGCTGGAGCATATGCGTCGATTTGTTCCAGAGACACTTAGATATTCCGTCAAGCGTCATTGCCTTGCGGTTAGGGTTTTGAGCCAGAGGTCTTGGTCGGAGACCTTAATCATTCTCCTGTCCAGGTTTGGGCATCCTGGAAGTATCTCGACCCACACAACTATTAATATTCACGCTGTCGTGCGGTGCCATAAGCCGCGTCACCTTACATGCTGCACAGCGGGGCGAGTAATCGAAAAGATTCGATGCGAAACAAGTGGGTCTAAGTGTCAAACGCACCTAAGAGCACTAAGAACAGATATCCACAGTGCTACTACTTGAGGTACAGCCCAGCCTACCTCATCCAAACACTAGAAACCTGACATGGCCATGGTCCAGCTGGAGACCTGGTGACATTCCTCCTAACCGCAACCACAACTCAACTTGACGCCCCATCCGACGATTGAGAACTCGGTGTACCCGAAAACCTGAAGAAATGGAAGATGCGAAAAATGTTGGAAACTTCCATAGGCTGTTCCACTTGATTCGTCCGATTGGGTACTCGAAAGCATCTCGCCAGCAAAACTATCAAGGACCAGAATAGTCTTGATAGCATGGTTGTACGGCAGTGAAGTATCGGTGTTGAACACTGATGTCATGCTGTCGATGATGATGATGATGATGATAGCAAACGAGGATGTTTATGCCACTGTGCACAATACTTTGAACAATTCGTATGGCCACCTGATGGCCTTCAGCACAAAACTGCACCGTAAACATTGAACCTATCTCAGCCTCCGAAGTGTCCGAGTGTATATCTCTAATCAAGTCTCATTGTGCTTCTCCTGAAGGCCCTTCATCTGCTCTGTCCAAGGTGGCGGTGAATTCTTCAGTCAGTCCCCTTCTAGTCTAGTTGGGTCTTTGTGGAAGAAAAAGACTGTTTCAGATAACTTGGATGATTCGGTAATGGTGCCCATTTTGAAAGGGTACTCACGTTGAATATAGTGATGATAGTAGATGTGTTAATTTGGTTTCCGTTGTAACAAAGCTTTTGCGTCACTGATTATTCATCTTGAAGCGGCATGCAAATCCTTGCTCCGTGATCATCAAGCAGAATTTCGACCATATTTTTCACGATGCTTCAGGTGGTAAAGCAACGCTATATGTATAGCTGACCCATACTCGTGGTATTCTTTGACGTCAAAGTTGCGTTTGATTCTGTTGTCCGGTCAATGATATTAACCACATATGCTCAGCAGTGTACGCCCCAGATACCCGAATATAATCTGGTCCCCATATTCACAACTATTTGTGTCAACTCCCTGGAAGCTTTCCTACAAGAAATGGTGACCGCCAGGGTTGTCCACTTTCTCCATCCCTGTTCAGCTTCGTCGCCGGTGCAACAATGAGGCGAATGCCGCAAGGTCTTCAAATCCTTGCTAATGCGAACCTTGTCGCTTTGGAGACGACATCGTCTTTGGATGCGAAGGCCAACCGCAACTCTGTTGAGTAAACTGACCATTTTTTCGCATGCATCTTTTATCTTCAAAGTGCAAAGCTATGTTCTAGAACGCGGTGTCTCTGAATATGCACGTGAGAATCACCGGAGGTTGTGGAGAATTTCGCATATTTCCTCAGTCGTATTGGCTCTGACAAGAGTGTCTGACAAAGTCAGTGCACGAATCTCAAGGGCCCAAATCTAGTTGGTTGATTTGCGTCACATGTGGCGTCAAAAAGGCATATCACCGGGTCCTAAGGGTCTCATATACCAAGCTACATTAAGGACTGTTTTATGGTTTTGAAACATGGCCTTCGTGGACAGATTGTGATGCGTATTCAGGTTATTGACCACCGATGCTTGAGCAGCGTTGATGTTTGTCTTATGTCATCAACGAATTCGCAACAAGGTAATAAGGGACCAGGTGTTTGGTTGTGCAGCGGTTACTTAAGTCGCAGAAAACATCTAACACCCTCAGTGGATCGGTCATACGCCGAAACACCGTCTACCGAGAAGAGTGTTCTGCGTGCCTGTGTGCATTTGTGGCGCTGATGTGACGTCAGCTTGGTTGTTAAATTTAGAGTGCACTAAGCCACAGCCATGGATCGGAGACATGGTCGTCGTTTGCTGAAAGTCTTCTAAGGATCTGTGTTTGATCAGTGCCCCCCTCTCCCACCCTATGAAGCGTCGCACAAGTCCGGTGGATTCATCAGAGCAGTAATGTTGAAGTATGCCAGAACAGTTCATTCTCCCCCCGATAAATCAGCTGGTCCAGCTCCACTGTTTACGCAAGTTGGGCCATGTACCTCTTATGTCAGGGGATCGTTTGCCTCGCACAGTTCTGTGTAGGAAGGAGACGACCCAAGGTTGGTCATCGCATGACTGAGCAACGGGACAAGAAAGCCCATCCACAGTCAACTAACTCGGGCTGGCAAATGCCTTATTCCCGGATGGAAATCAGGACGGGTCAAAACAAAGGTTAGGAAATCTGACAGATACGACTGTCACGCAGCCAGTGGTGGTCTTGCATCAAAGCCATCGCCTTTATTGCGTAGCTCTCAAACCCTACCACACAAGACAAACTGAACCACTCCTCATCGTTGGACTGATTGGGTCATCACAAGTGAGTAGTTCAGTGTCTTGAGCAAGATGGCTCGGCGGTTAGAGCGCGAATTTAATGGCCGGATGGTCGACAGTTCTAATCCGACCTCTGCCTCTCAACTTCCCCTGTCTAGGCTTTGGCAGCCTGGCAGTATTCTCTGGCCCTCTAGCTTCCTTCGGGTAGCATGGCAGCGGGGCACCGAAAGGGTGCTCCGTCTGAATGATTTGATTTTTTACTCCCTTATTCTCCTTGTCTTAGGCAAACGATGTTTTAGCGTCTGGAATCACTGAATTGGGTCGCATGATTCGTGAGCTAAGAAACTGACTAACAGGTGACTTTCCATCATCCCAGTGACTCTTACGTTCAGATCTAACACTCTTGAAGGCAGGTGACTTTTAAAAACCTTCATTTCCTGCCACTTCCTTCGTCTTCCGAAACGAATTTTCTCAGACAGTGAACGAGCTCTCCATCTTTAAACCAGACAGTTGGAAAAAACTCAGGACTGACGGCTCTGTTTTGCGCGGAGGATTTCTTGTTGCTTGTTGACATTCCGGACAGACTTACACAGTCTGAGATGTCGCAATCCATGTGCGGCCAGTTAGCGAGGCTACAAACGATTGCTTTCATCCGGTAAGTTCCAGGATGACCCCAAACGAAACTGCTTCAGGACCCGAAGGTGTAAGGGGCGTGGCCTCACAACACGTTCTCCAAAAATGATACAGTAGTCAACGGTAGACAGGGAATCCCAACGATGGAAAAGAGGTTGGAGGTCGTCGTCCAGGGATTTTGTCGACCAACGTGTCCTGAGGAAGTGTGTCGCCTGTCACAATGTCGAATCAGCCACAGTCTCGCTCTGATGATCCCGCACGGTCACCGGTAAGACACGGAGTGGTTTGAGCAGCTGATGGTTGGCGCGGTCATCGATGGACAGGGTAGCGGTGACAAAATCCTCTTCACGAGCAGTATGGCTGCCATTTAGACGAGCGTACATCCGCTTAGCCGAAATTTTCCATGTAGCAATACTGGATGTCGAAGTCGTAGCCAAGTGGGATGAGTGCTCAACGTTGCAGGCGACTAAACCCCACCGAACACTGAAAATCAGGCAGGAATACCGAGTAATAGTTGACGAGACCCAAGAAAAAGCTGAGCCTATTAACATCCTTCCAGCCTGGCCTCTGTTGAGTTGCTGGTACGTTCTGGGGATCAGGGTGTCGACCGTAAGAAGATGAACTCGAAATAGTTGGTTGTTGTCATGAAGAACTAACATTTTTCAGGACGGAGGCGAAGACCGTTATCATGGATACTTTGAAGCACCATATCCATTTCCATGTGCAGTTCACCTAGAGAGCCGACGGCAATCAGCACGTCGTCCAGCTAATCAGCCACATCTGGAATGCCAGAATGGATTGTGTCCATCATCTGACGCCTCTCTTCTTACATTTTCACGTTTGGAATGCCAGATTGTGTCCATCATCTGACGCCTCTCTTCTTACATTTTCACGTTTTCCGTCTTCCACCCTCCCCCGCCCAAATTTGAATTGAATACTCGCAGGTCCCAGCTCTAGGACTGACCGTTTTGCTCGCCCTGCATCACACTCAGCTGCAGCTTCTGCACGCCCGAGTTCAGTTACAACCCTAAACACTTCGAAGTCTGTTTTCAAACCCCGAAAGC